TGGGCTATCGCTGTCTGTTGAGCCTGTAACATTTTGAAGATCAAGCGCAAGTTGATCCTGTCACCTTCGCCATCGTGTATACTCCGAGCTATCAACCGGACTCCCCCGCGAATGCGTTTTTCGGGGTCAGCAGACAAGTTTGCTTCGATAGCGACGCGTGAGTTAGCATAGATCGGATCAGCGGCCAGGACTCCGTTGGGGTCAGCAGGGGGTACCTCGTTGCTGGGTACCATGTTGTTGTTTTCGCCATGGTGGCCAGACTCAGCATCCACGTTCAAATGGGCAGATTGGGAGTTCGACATTTTTAATCTGACCTGAAATTAAAAGCTTAAAGAACAAGTGTAAAATAGAGTGTGTTATGGACATTTGTATCAAATTGCCACTATTATCCTTAGCCTTACGTTGGGCGCCAAACTTTTTACCCTAAAAAAAGGATAACAATTAAATTTATAAGTGGTTTAAAAGATGCGTGGATTAATTGAATACAAATGATAAATTGTGTTAGATTAAACAGATAAAGGACGTGATAAATTGTCAAACCAATCAAGAGGAGTGATCCCGGACTTAGTAATAGCTTAATGAAATGCCTGCCTTCGATCCTGGACTCACGTTACTGATGATTCAATGAACAAAACTAAGAGCTTTGAATAATAGAGAAAATAAGAGTATATTGCCTTGATGTGTGTGTTACAATATGGTTAATGAATAATTAAACACCCCTTTATATATTAGGAGAATTTTACTCTAAGTACAATTGCATAAAAGGTAAAAATATTTTGTTTAACTAATCACCGGTTCTCTACCGATACGTGCCGAGATCCACGCCGTGATATCCGGGTGGTCAAGGATATCACGGCCTTTTGTTGGTCGTGCTCGATTACCTGGTAGTGCTCTCCGGGGCCTTTGGGATTCAAACTGAACTCGTGGTCATGGCCGCGATACTCCCGAGGCCAGGCATTTTTCCCGGACCCCGGTTCGAGGGGCTCCTTGTCTCGATTCTGGTTCCTTGATGTCACGTCTCTTGCTCCGTTTGCTTCATCGGAAGACTAAGCGTCTCATGGGATCGGTTTCACCCGTATACATAGATAAGATTGAAGAACTATTTTTTGCAAATATAAGAGTAAAATGAAATTAAATAATGATAATTTCCGATATCAGAAATGAAATAATATTAAAGAAATATTGAGATAAGAGGATGTTAGAGGAAGAACGACAATACTCTAGAATGAGACAAAATCGCCATCGCAAAGAATAAAGCTTGAGCTAGCGGAAGAACGACAATATTCAGTAGGCGTCATTCATGATTTGATATAGGTATCTTTTCAGCAGTGTCTTATTTATAATGTGCTAAAAGTGTCAAAACTGAAATGGCTAAAATACTTGGATAAGAAACTCTGTGTCAATTGTTAATGCTGCTTAGCATCTTTAGCCACAACTAATTATGGAAAAATTCACTTGACAAGATAAATTGCACTAGCTTAGTGCTGTCTAATCTTTACTAAATGAGATGTGAAGACAAAATAGAATTACTAAGTGCCCTCAAAGAAGCATACGATACAAAGAGTGTGTTTGGTACGAAGGAAAATGTTTTACTTGAAAATATTTTTCTGAAAAATATTTTTTTGAATAATGAATGGTTTTATCACTTATTTTTTTATATTTGGTTGGTGAATTTTTTTGTCAAAAAATATTTTTTAGTATTTAGTTAGAGAGTAGAAAATATTTTTTTAGAAAAATAATTTTCTATGTTACTCTCCTTACCCCTCCCTCCCTCCAAATTTCCATGTTTCCTGTGCTCCTCCCCCATCCCCAAAAATAAAATACCCAAGGTTTTTAGAACTCTATTTTCGTCAAGAACTCAATTATTCTTTTAAAAGTTACCACAAATCTAAAGGAACTAATCCGTTGCTTTACTTTTTCACACAAGAACAACGTTAAAATTTGTGCTCCATAATCGACGAAAATACTCTTTTTCTTGTTGAAACAAAATAAAAGTACTCTTTCTACAACATGAAAAGAAAATACTCATTTTGTTGAAATCAAAGAAAATACTTTTTCTGCATCATGAAAAGAAATACTCATTTTGTTGAAATGAAAAAAGAAAGTACCATATTTACAACATGAAAATTAAAAAGTACCCTAGGTCATATGCCTCCACCGAAGTATCAAATTCTCTCTCCGTACATATGAATTGCGTGAATAGTAAACTGTCACGCCGGAATGCATGCAACTCCACCGTACGGTGGCGGAAAACCACCGGACCAGGCTCAAAAGAAGCGCCTCACCACTGCGTACAAACTCCAACTGGGCATCCTCTTCAACTCTTCCCCAGCAGCTACAAATTTTAAAAATGGTGGAGCGATAAATGTAGCAAAACATCGCCTGGGCGCTTCTACAAAATCTCAGCTCACTACTGATCCAAATTCTGTGATTTCAAACCGGGGAGGTTGTTCTCCAACCCAAATACCAGCAACCCACCAAAGCTCATACCAGTCCACCGCTGAAAATCGTCGTCGCCGATGATGAGAACATGACCGATGAGCAACATTTGCTCGGACAGAATGATACAGATGTCCAAATTGACCAAGACCAAGGCCAATAGATGCAAATTAAAGAGGAGATGAATATTAACATATCAAAGAACAACCTCAATGAGCCAATTGCCACATCAATGCAAAACACCAAAGTTGCACACTTACAGGCACCAGGTGTTTAATGTAATACCATTGGAAAATTATCTGTTAATTCAAACAAGCAAAGTGTTGTTCAAGCGCCCCAAAGTATTACTGAAGGTTGTCATCAAGGTCTAAACCAAGAAATACAACTCCAAGTTGATGGTCGTGTTTTTCCTCTTCCATCAGCCCCCAGGTGACCTAACAGAGTGATTCAATTGCACAGGTCAATTTAAGCCAACAAAAGGAGAAGAATCTTGCCAAAGAGATTGATTCTAACACCTCCAAGAAATCACAACAATCACAGGTATCCACAATTCCATTGCCCTCAGTTGAGCTATAGATGTTCACCATAACATGCTCGACCAACTATTGTCACTAAGGAAACTCTTTCTATTGGTAATGAACCTATTCCTTTAACTTTGAATCAACAACCCAAGTCCGCAACTCATCATCATGATAACCAAATCAATATTACTCAGAATCCCCCTCTTACTGTGCAACAGAACTGGGAAGGAAGAAACCAGTTAACCTCCACAGACCAAACAACTATTATACACTAACCAACACCTAGCAAAAGTACCCTTCCTAAGATCTCCTCCAACTTTGACAAACCATCTCACACTAAGTCTCCTTCCTCACAACCTGTTCTAAAGCAAACAACCAATAATACCACTATTAGTAATCAAGCAAATGATACAAGTGCCAATCCTAAACAACCATCCAGCTCACCTGCTCCACCTCCACCCATAATCAAACATTCCTATGTTACCAAACTGAGGGCAAGACATGAAGCTGAACATGAACCAATTGAGTTTATTCCTCCTAAAATCACTACAAAGCAAGGTCAACCAACAATTATTTTCAATCGAGATGATTATATGGTCAAACTGGCTGTAAGATGCAAATTCACAGTGGTTGTGAAATTTTCCAACACTATGCCTAGGATGGAGATTATTAGGAGAAGTTTTGTGTCACAAACAGAACTTAAAGGGGGTGTCAAGATTGCTCATTTTAATGCAAGAACAGTCTACATTGATCTGGATAATGAATATGATCATTTCATTGTATGGACCAGGCAATTCATGTATATTCAAGGTCAAATGATGAAGCTGGAAGCATGGACACCCAATTTCAGTCCTGATGAAGATTCACCCATTTTTCCTATATGGGTGGTGGTTCCAGAACTTCCTTGGAACTTTTATTACATGGAGATATTGAATGTCGTACTATCTTCAGTGGGGAAAGATCTTCATTTGGATCTGGCATCATTCCAAAAGACTAGAGGAAGTGTAGCTAAGGGAAAAATGCAGATTGATTTGACTAAGCCAAGGCCACATCATGTTTGATGAAGATTAAACTGAGGATGGGAAGTGGCTAGAAGTTCAGTATGAAAACATCCCAGATTATTGTCTTTATTATAGACACCTGGACCATAATTCACACTCATGCCCAATCAGAATTAAGGATGAAGAGAACAAGAAAAGAAAAGAGAAATGAAATTTAACAACTGCAGCCCAATGAGGAACAAACATCATCACAAAACCAGAGCAATCAGTATGAGAATCAAGATAGAAGCATCAATGCTGACGTTAACCAGAAAGGGGAGGAACAGCAAAATCCAGGGGCTTCCCCTCCAAACACTGAATGGCAAACTAGAAAAGGAAACACTTCAAATGGCATCAACGGCAAAATAAGAAATAGTATCAACCAATCATTCCAAAAAAGAAAACAGAACAACAGATGCAGACTAATGAGATTACTAAAAACCAAAAGAACAAGGTGAGCCAAACAACAAGTCGAAACACTACAACCCTGAAAGATCATCCAGATGCTTTGGAGGAAGGTGATGCTCCAGAGGCTTTGGAGGAAGGTGATGCTTCTAATGATCTGAATAGTAATAAACCTCTCCAACCCCCTGATATTCATATTGTGGAAGCAAATAGAGGGTTGGAGAAGTGTCAGAGGCTACTAATGATGTGGATTATTGTGAAGTGATCTATTCTAGTGGGTAAGAACAATCTTTGAGAAGATTAATCAAAGGAGAGGGTCATGTTTCCTCAGATATCCAAATTCAACTCCCCAAAACAAAGAACAAACCTAGTCAAAAGAAGAGGAGAGTAACGAGAAAGAAAAATGCAGGAATAAGCATTGTTGAACAGACACGGGAAGTAAATATTGAAACTAATCAAATGCCCCTGCAGGATACACAACTCCAAATGCCAACCTATCTCTCTCCCAACCACCGTTACCCAACAAATGTGATATCCAAGTCGAAAGAATTGAGGTAGACAATACAACAGTTAAGAAAATACCTGATGAACCGATATGGATGGTCCCGTTAACAACATTATGCCATCAAGAAAACCTATCAATGAAGAGGATGAGTACAGACACATCCAGTCAGAAGATGAGATGGGAACATTCTCAGAAGAAGAGGATTATCTGAGTGCAGGGATTGGGGAAGAGCATCATTGTGAACTCCTGATTGCAGCTGTGAATGGTGCAACTGAACAAGACAATATTTTAGACTCCCAAATTAGATTGCCAAGGATAAGACCCTTACCTAGACTCACCAGAAGTAGAGCTTCTTCCAGCAGTTCTGTCCCACCAAACCCCAAATCTCCTACCAATGTTAAATGGTCAGTACAATAACTTGGAATGTTAGAGGTATCAGGACCTATGGAGTTATTGAGAGACTCAAAACTCTAAAACGGATCCACAAATCATCCCTCATTGTTGTCTTAGAAGCATTTCTTCATAATCCAACTACTTCAGCCATCTCTTCCCATAACAACCATCTTGACTACTTCAGAATGCAGCTATCGATAAACCAGGTTGCTTCCAACAGTAATAACATAATTTGGATCTTCTGGGATCAGGAGTTCACTGGTACTCTCTTGGACCAAGATGAACAACAGATGGATATTGAACTGAAGCATGTAGAAGCTGGAGATATCTTTTATATATCAATAATCGATGCAAAATGTAAACTTTCTATGAGAATTCCTCTATGGGAGAATTTGAAACTCAAATCTACTACTTCCACGGTATGTTGGTGTGTGATTGGAGATTTTAATGTCATTACTTTCATGGGTGAGAAGATTGGAGGGATACCATACCAGATGAAGAAAAGCATTGACTTCATCAACATGATTGAAGAATGTGTCTTGATTGATTTGGGGTTTTATGGCCCAAGATACACATGGTCTAATGGAATAGGCCCTGGTTCTATAGTGTGGAAAAGACCGGACATGGGGATGGCTAATGATAACTGGATAATCTCCTTCCCCGATACAACTATCACACAATTGGCTTCTGCAGGCTTTGGCCATTCACCTCTCCTAATGGAAATGCATGTGATACAAGACAATGTTAGGAAATACTTCAGGTTTCTCAAGTGTTGGGTAAAGAATGAAAGCTTCATGCCACTAGTTACAGAGGTGTAGAGCATGCAGGTTATAGGAAATCCTATGTGGGTCTTTCACCAAAAACTTAAAGCCTTGTCTAGTGCTTTGAGTAAATGGTCTAGACAACAATATGGGGACATCTTTCAGAAACCAAGGAGTATGAACAGAAGATTAATATAGAAGAGGAGAAATGGGTTACTACCAATGATCGATCTGACATGACTGCCTTACATGAACTTCAAGCTCAGTATACTAAACACCTGAAAGTTGAGGAGGAAGTGTTAAAGCAGAAGACATAACTTCAATGGTTCAAAGAAGAGAATGCCAACTCTAAGTACTTTCACAGCCTAATCAAAGGTAGAAAAAGAAAAAATTTCATCCACAAAATTAAGGATGCAGAAGGGGATTGGATTCAGGGTGATGAGGCTATTGGAGAAGCTGTTTGTGATTATTTTGAAGAGCTCTTCACTATGCCTGGAGGGCACATTAGAGAGGATCTTCTCAACTGTATACCAATCATGATCACTAATGAAGACAATATTGAACTATCCAGAGATCCTGACATGAAAGAATTTAAACGAGTTGTATTTTCCATGTGCCCATCCAGTGCTGCAGGTCTAGATGTGATGAATGGCAAATTCTTCCAATCCTGTTGGGAGGTGATTAAGGATGATCTGCTAAAGGTGGTGCTTGCTTTGTTTTTGGAGGAAGATGCCTAGATACATGACCAATCCATGCCTTGTTCTCTTACCCAAAGTGGAATCCCCTAACTCTTTGACTGAATTTAGACCCATAAGCTTAAGTAACTTCATCAACAAAATCATCTCTCAACTGATTGGTACCAGGCTTGAACCTATACTACCAAACATCATCTCAGCCAATCAGTCTGGTTTTGTCAAAGACAGAAGTATCTCAGAGAAAATCATGCTTGCTCAAGAGATTGTCCAAGGAATTTAAAAGCCAAATGTAGGAGCTAATGTGGTCATTAAGCTAGATATGAAAAACGATTATGACATGGTTTCTTGAGAATTTACTTGCATTATTCTCAGGAGAATGGGATTTAGTGAAGTCATCATTGACATGATCTGGAGGATCATGTCCAACAACTAGTACTCTGTGGTTGTTAATAGCTCCAGGCATGCTTCTTTAAGTCTACTAGGGGTTTAAAGCAAGGAGACCCACTGTCTCCCTCTTTTTTCATCATTGAGGCAGAGCTACTATCCAAAATGCTTAACAAACGCACTCATGATCAATTTTTCAAGGGTTTTTACATGGAGAAGATGGTCCCAAAAGTCAATTGTAACACCCCGAAAAATTTTGAAGTACTTAAGTGTAAAGCCCGGTAAAGTTTGCAAAGAAAATAATATTTCATGGTGACGGACTAGGAGAGCTTGCGAGCCGTGGCTCGAAATTTTTGGGTTGAACAATGCACCGGAAAGTAAAGGAATTTTTTAGCGGAAAAGTATATTTTTGTTGTCCATTATGTGACCGTAGAACCACTCTGTGGACCACATAATGGCCGCAGAGTGAGGCGGTTAATTTGGTCAGTTGGAAGCAACTATGCGGTCGACTATGTGACCGTATAACTGTTATGCAGTGCATTATGTGACCGCATAACAGTTATGCAGACCATATAGTGACCGCATACACATGCAGTTCTTTTGGCTATTTTGTAACCAATTATGCTACCGATATGCGGTCCACATATCGGTTATGCGATCGCATACCTTGTTCCGGAGCTCTATTTTTGGATTTTTAAAACCCTACCCTATTTTGTTAAATACACTCTTTGGGCCATTTTTGAGACATAATCTGTTATTTTAGAGTGAGAGAGAGTGCCCTAGAGTGAGAAAGTGTTCTTCAATAATATTTTCTTCAATTCTTGCTCAAGTTTTGGAAGATTAAGAAGGGAAGCTCACTAGGTCTTCATCCTAGAGGTAAGATTCTACACCCTAAACCCTAATTTCGAAATCTTCTAAAATGGGTAACTAGCAAGATAATATTTGGGTATGAGAGTTGATTATTTTACATGCATGTGTTATCAAAGGGTGTAGGAAGATTGTTGAGCTAAAAATGGTAAAGATTGGGTTGTGGGATGATGAAATCCTTCATAAAAAGGACATTGAAACCTTATGCACACCTAGTGTTTGATAAAATGCTCAAGTGAGCTAGAACCATGATCATTTTCCAAATTTTGATTCAATTTGTTATATTTCTACAATAGATTGAAGTTGCTAAGAATTCCGGAACGTTTTAGAGTTTAAGGAAGCTCAAGTGAAGTATGTTGGCTAAACTCTTCTCTTAGAATTAAATCCCACGATATTTATATAAATTATGTAAGTCCCGAAAGATATATATTCAACAAGCATCCTAAATGCTTTATTCATGTTATGTTACCAATTGAGGATGTGTTAAAATACAGGCTACTCATTAATAATGTTTCGACTTTAAGTCAAGTTCAAATAAAGGCTATTATGCCAAATCTTGTGAAATATCTCTATGTGCCTTAGACTCTAAATTACTCACATGTGTACTACACACCTTGATTTGAGTTGTATTTGTTTTTGATGATGATAATGATATTTGAAATTGATAAGGTGAGCATGAAATACTGAATATGTCCAACGTGCCAAGAATGACCTTATGATTATGGCCATTAGTGCCAATAAAATGAAAATATGTGAAAGTAATATGAAATGCGATAATTTATATAAAAAGGTTGATGTCTCAAATAAGAGAACCTAGCCGGTCGGGTCGTGATCAGACACCATGCCGCACACATGGTGGTGATTGTGCTGGAAATTATAATTGAAATTGTGATTGTGGTCGATGTCCCTAATGGATAGCCTAGCTAATCGGGTCGTGATTGGACTCCATGTTAAAGATGGTGGTATTGATATTGAGAGTAATTGTGGTTGATGTCTCTAATGAGATAGCCTAGCCGATCTTGTCGTGATCGGATTCCGTGCTAAGAGTATGGTGGTACTGATTTTGTGAATAATGATATTGTGAATAATGGTATTGTGGACAATGGTATATAGATACTAAAAATATCCCAATGTGAGATATGGGAATTAATTTGAACACTGTCTTGATCCTAAATTGAGGTTTGATGTTAATTAAGGCTTTCATTGATATTATGATAATCTTGTTTGTATTATTTGTCATTCTATTGAGAGACTGTTTAGTTATACATACTAGTATTATTCGACGGTACTAACGTCCCTTTTGCTGGGGGAGATGATCTTTAAATGGATGCAGGTGGTTCCACAGCAGGAGATATTGATTAGTGATAGCAGTACATCTTCTTCCTAGCTGACTTGGTGAGCCCCACTTCATTCTGGGGTCATGTATCTTTTGTACGTTGTGTATTCAGTTTGAGGTATAAGCGGGGCCTTATTGCCGGCATTATCATTGTACTCTTCTTTATCTATAGAGGCTCCGTAGACATAGTGTGAGTTGTGTATTGGTGCTGGGGAAAGACAAACTATGTTATATTGTGGTTGTATTACTTGTCCATTTGAGATTTTAAAAATGATAAAACTATTGGAAATGAATTGGTATTGTAGACATGAACACATTTTCGTCTAATTAATGATAATATGTATTATCTCTATTCATGGATGAGTTTGGGTAGAATAAAATCTAACAATCTTGCTCGGTCGGGTTCACTCGGTTGAGCGCCAGTCGCGCTCCTCAATTTTGGGGCGTGACATCAATCATCTGAGTTTTGCAGATGATGTGATCATATTCACATAAGGGGGAATGGCTTCATTTTTGAAAATAATGAAGATATTGGAGGACTATGAAAACACATCTGAACAGAAAATCAACAAGGCCAAGAGTCACTTTATGACTCCTTCATGTGTCTTCCACTATAATATCAACAGAATTCATCAGCTTACAGGTTTTACCATAAGGGAATCTCCTATCACTTACCTTGAATGTCCACTCTACATGGGAAGGAGGATAATCCTACACTTCAATGATTTAATCTCCAAGGTAATTTGTAGAATTAGAGGATGGCATAGTAGACTACTCTCCTATGGAGGAAGAGCTACTCTAATCAAACATGTGTTGCAATCGCTACCAATCCACATCCTATTAACAGTTTCACCTCCTAAAACTATTATGAAGCAAATTGAAAGAATGTTTGCTTACTTATTCTGGGGTATAGACAAATACAAAACAAATATCACTGGGCTTCATGGGATAAAATGTCCTACCCACTTGAGGAAGGAGGTACTGGCTTTAAAGCCATTGTTGATGTTTGCAAGGCCATGGAATTCAAACAATGGTGGCCCTTAAGAACTAAAAAATCCTTATGGAGTAGCGTTTTGAGGGCTAAATACTGTAAGAGGTTACATCTTGTATCCAAAAAAGGAATACATGACAATCTCAAACCTGGAAAAAGATGATGATTAACAAGAAAGAAGCTGAACCCAATATCTTGTGGAGGCTTCACTCTGGCACAATCAGTTTCTGGTGGGATAATTGGTTAGGCACAGGACCCTAGACAAATTTTAGGAATGAAAGAGGTAGACCTAGCAATATGTCTGTGTGTCAATTATGGGATTTAGGGAGATGGAACATTCAGAAACTCAATGCTTGTGCCCCATCATATAAAATCTTTGAAATTCTGTAGGTTTCCATCAAATACTCACCTCATACACCTGACAAACCAACTTGAACTCTCACTTCCGCTGAGAACTTCACATGTGCTTTTGCTTGGGGGATAATTAGGAAGAGGAAACAGGTTCTCTTCACCAACAAGATGACATGGCACAAAAGGATTCCTTTCAAATTGTCATTCTGCCTATGGAGAGCACTCAGAAATAAACTCTCCACTGATGATAGAGTTTTGTCTTTTTGACATCCTACTGTCACTAGATGCGTGTGTTGTATCAGGCCATATGCAGAATCAGTAGATCACATCTTCAGCAGGGGCCCCTTTGCTAAATCATTCTGGAAAGTCTTTACTAGTCTTGTTGGTTTCCCCCTACAAGACATGTCTTTACAGTTGCTCTTGATAAAATGGTAGATTCAAATAAGCAAGAATGAGGTTCACAAGTTGTTGTTGGATACCCTCCCTATCATGATATGTTGGAACTTATGAAAGAATAGGTGTAGTGCCAAGTATGGAGATAAGAAATTCTCAAGGATCATATTTTGTTAATCCATTAAATCTGACATCAACCTTCTTCTCAGAGCCAATTACCCCACCATCAACTGGTTATTTGAAATGACTGAGTTATACTCCATTGTGCAAGACCTACAATTTCATACCACTATCCTTCAAGTGACATGGCAGAAGCATGAGGGTGGCTTTGTCAAAATTAATAGTGATGGTAGTTCCCTCAGTAATCTAGGCAAGATTGGAATTGGGGTCATTGTCAGGGATTCTGAGGGAAACTTAATACATGCATTAGCCAAGCCTTAGGTGAGGAAACTAAAAGCTTAGCAGAAACAATATCATCAGTTCTGGAACTTCAATGGTGCTTGGATAATGGTTTTAAGAAAATTCACTTGGAAGCTGATTTCTGCTCTGTTCATACAATGCCTCAAAAAATCAGCAGAACCTCCTTGGAGCATTGAAGCTGATCTGCAAGACCTCAGGGCTCTCTGTGGACAATGTGATTACTTCAGATGCTCACATGTTTACAACGAAGCCAATGTTCCTGTAGATTCTTTATCCAAACTCAATCATGATCTCCCTTCC